TCGGGGGGGGTCTCAGGGGGTCTCGGGGGGGGTCTCTCACCCATCTGCATGCAGATCTCGCCGATGGCCCACGTGGCGTTGTTGCAGACCGAGATGAACTCGGGGTTCAGGTTGGTGCCCAGGATGGGCATGAACTCGGCTGGGGAGGGGGCGCGGGTGAGCGCAGACCCCCTCCCCGCCCCGAGGCGAACCTGGGGGCGCCCCCCCGGCCCGGGGGACCCCAAAACTCACCGATGCAGGGCTTGACGTGCACGAAGCAGGCCTTGGTGAGGTCGCCCAGCAGCGCGAAGGAGCTCTGCCGCACCTCGGGCATCGTGGGATGCCCGGGCCACAGCTCAGCTCAGCTCAGCGGGGGCACCCCGGGCGTTTCGGGGGGCTCGGGGGGTCCCCCCCGCCTCACCTGCATGCACTGGAACAGCAGCGTCATGATGTTGGAGCGGGCCACCAGCTGCTCCACGTGGCCACCCAGCCCCTCGGCCAGGCCGCTGAGCAGGTCCAGGGCCACGATCATGAAATCCTTGTCGGGGGCCTCGTACTGCTCGGGGTGCTGGTTGTACATCTGGGGGGGACGGTGGCACTGTCAGTGGCACTGTCAGCGTCACTGTCAGCGTCACTGTCACCCCCCGGGGCACGGGGAGGGGCTCACCATGGCCTGGGCCAGCGTTTTCTGCACCAGGGTGACGCAGCGCTGGTAGACGGGCTCGCAGTAGGGCAGGAAGCCGCTCTGCAGGGCCGTGGCCACCGAGGACAGGCACTGGGGACAGCGGGGGACGTCGTGGGGGTGGCTCGGGGACGGCCACCCCCCCCCCCCGGGGCCGCCCCTGCCCCACCTCCAGCAGAGGGAACAGGTCCTTGTCCTCGTCCTTGAGCTCGTTCCACTTCTGGATCAGCGGCGGCATCAGCTTCTGGGGTGGGACACCCCAGAGGGGCTGGGGACAGCCTGGAGGGGCTGGGACAGGGGACACCGGGCTGGGACAGGGGGACACCGGGCTGGGGACAGCCTGGAGGGGCTGGGGACAGGGTGACACTGGGCTGGGGACAGGGGGACACCGGGCTGGGGGAGTTGAGAACACCCTGAGAGGGTTGGGGACATCCCAAAAGAGTTGGGGACACCCAACAGGGATTGGGGACACCCTGAGAGGGTTGGGGACACCCCAAAAGAGTTGGGGACACCCAGCAGGGGTTGGGGACACCCTGGAGAAGTTGGGGACAGCCAGCAGGGATTGGAGACAGTGGGGAGAGGTTGGGGACAGCCAGCAAGGGTTGGGGACAGGCAGCAGGAGTTGGGGACACCAAGCAGGGGTTGGGGACACCCTGGGGAAGTTGGGGATAGGCAGCAGGGATTGGGACACTAGGGAAGGGTTGGGGACACCAAGCAGGGGTTGGGGACAGCAAGCAGGGGTTGGGGACAGCACGCAGGGGTTGGGGACAGCACGCAGGGGCCACCAGCCGTGGCCTGAGGCCCTCAGAGCACAGAGATCCACAGGGGGAATTCGGGATTCGAATGTCTGTGGTCATCACCGGGCTCAGCAGGGGACACCGGGGGGCTTTGGGGACACCAAGGGACACTGGGGGGCTTTGGGGACACCAGGAGGGTTTGGGGACACTGTGGGACACCAGGAGGATTTAGGGACACCAGAGGGAGGTGTTTGGGGGGTTTGGGGACACCGTGGAATACCAGGAGGGCTTTGGGGACACCGGGAGGATTTGGGGACACCGGAGAGGGGTGTTTGGTGGGTTTGGGGACACCATGAGGGTTTGGGGACACCGTGGAATACCAGGAGGGCTTTGGGGACACCGGGAGGATTTGGGGACACCGGAGGGGGGTGTTTGAGGGGTTTGGGGACACCGGGAGGATTTAGGGACACTGGAGAGGGATGTTTGGGGGGTTTGGGGACACCAGGAGGGGTTTGGGGACACCAGGAAAGGTTTGGGGACACCAGGAGGGCTTGGGGACACCGGAGGGGGGTGTTTGAGGGGTTTGGGGACACCAGGAGGATTTAGGGACACCGGAGGGGGGTGTTTGAGGGGTCTGGGGACACCAGGAGGGGCTTGGGGACACCGGGAGGATTTGGGGACACCGGAGCGGGGTGTTTGGGGGGTTTGGGGACACCAGGAGGGCTTGGGGACACGGGGACACACCGGCTGGTTGAGGTGGTGGCCCACGGAGTCGGCCAGCGTGCCGATGGCGTCGTAGAGGATGAGCAGGTTCTTGTGCTGGTACTTGCCGAAGGCGAACACCAGCGTGTCCAGGATGAAGCTCAGGTACGGCACCAGCTCCGTGCACGCCTCCTCCTCCAGCGTGGCGAAGGCACTGCGGGGTGGGACACCCCGGAAACATTGTGGGGACACCCCAAAAAACTACACAAGGACCCCAAAAAGGTCACAGGGACCCCAAAAACGTCACAGGGACACCAAAAAACTACACAAGGACCCCAAAAACATCACAGGGACACCAAAAAACTACACAAGGACCCCAAAAACATCACAGGGACACCAAAAACGTCACAGGGACCCCAAAAAACTACACAAGGACCCCAAAAACATCACAGGGACCCCAAAAACGTCACAGGGACACCAAAAATCTACACAAGGACCCCAAAAATGTCACATGGACACCAAAAACGTCATAGGGACACCATGAAAATATGACAGGGACACCAAAAATGTCACAGGGACCCCAAAAAACTACACAAGGACCCCAAAAACGTCACAGGTACACCAAGAGAATATCACAGGGACACGAAAAACATCGTGGGGACACCAAAAAACTACACAGGAATCCCAAAAACATCACGGGAATGCCAAAAACCTCACAGGAACACCAAAAACATCACAGGGACACTGAGAACGTCATGGGGACACCATGAAAATATCACAGGGACACCCAAGAACCTCACACAAACCCCAAAAAACTACACAGGAACCCCAAAAACATTGCGGAGACACCCCGAAAACATCACAGGGACACCAAAAACATCATGGGGACACCGCAAGTCTGCTTCGTGGACCCCAAAAACTTCACAGGACCCCCCAAAACCCCCCAGGACCCCCAGAGCAGGCGGGGCCCCCCAGGTCAGGCAGTACGAACACAGAGCGTCCTCACTGGCATCAGGACAGGGCTGTCATCACCCCCGACCCCAAAAAACTACACAAGGACCCCAAAAAACTACACAAGGACCCCAAAAAACTACACAAGGACCCCAAAAACATCACAGGGACACCAAAAACGTCACAGGGACACCAAAAATCTACACAAGGACCCCAAAAACATCACAGGGACACCAAAAAACTACACAAGGACCCCAAAAACATCACAGGGACCCCAAAAACATCATGGGGACACCGCAAGTCTGCTTCGTGGACCCCAAAAACCCCCCAGCACCCCCAGAGCAGGCGGGGCCCCCCGGGTCAGGCAGTACGAACACAGAGCGTCCTCACTGGCATCGGGACAGGGCTGTCATCACCCCCGGGGGGCTCCCGGTGTCCCCAGTGTCACCTGTGCCACCCCAGTGTCCCCAGTGTCACCTGTACCACCCCAGTGTCCCCATTCCCCCCGTCTCCCCAGTACC